GTCAGAACCCCCCTGTTCCACGTCTGAATCCTCCTGTTCCACGTCAGAATCCCCCTGTTCCACGTCAGAATCCCCCTGTTCCACGTCAGAATCCCCCTGTTCCACGTCAGAATCCCCCTGTTCCACGTCAGAATTCCCCTGTTCCACGTTAGAATCCCCAATCCCCTGTTCCACGTCAGAATCCCCAATCCCCTGTTCCACGTCAGAACCCCCCTGTTCCACGTCTGAATCCCCCTGTTCCACGTCTGAATCGTCCTGTTCCACCTCTGAATCCCCTGTTCCACGTCTGAATCCCCTGTTCCACGTCTGAATCCCCTGTTCCACGTCAGGATCCATGCTATTAGGAGCATTACCGGCAATGACTGAGTCCTGGGTTCCACGTCAGGATCCATGCTTTTAGGAGCATGATCGGCAATGACTCAAAACAAAGTCTAAAAGCTCTTAAAAATTTATAAGTCTAAAACTCGGCCACGTAGCGCACCTTTTAATTGTTTTTTTCGTGTCGAACTACTGTTCCACGTCATTACCGTGTTCCTCTGGATCTCATGGTTGTGAGATGCGTTTTGTCCAACTAAGATGGTCATTCTGCTCATCCTTGTCATCGTGGAAAAGCGTTGCATGGCCGTGCAGGGTTAGTAGCATGCATGCGCAATGAATATAACTAGATATCGAGATGGCATGTACTGCATAGTACGTACCAACTTGAACAAAATGAACAGCTGGCGACCGTACTTCTACCTGTCGAATTCCATCTCGAACAAAATGAACAGCTGGTGACCGTCCATGTGCCTGCCCGTCATGTAGTTGTATTTGAATGGTGCCTTCCCGTAATGTAGTTGTATGCCGTTTGTATTCGAACGGGCAGGGTGATGCCGTTTGTATTCAAACGGTCCCTGCCATTTGTATTCGAACGGGCAGGGTGATGCCGTTTGTATTCAAACGGTCCCTGCCCGTGATGAGTTGTATTCGAAAGGCGCCTGCCATCGATGTCCTTGTCTTCGAATGGTGCCTGACAGCGATGCCGTTGTCTTTCAAAGATGCCTGCCCACAATGCACTGGTCTTCAAACGGTATCTGCCCACGGTGCAGCTGTGCTCGAACAATGCCTGTGTGCGCGCGATGCAGTTATCTTCGAATAGTGCCTGCCCAGAATGTAATTGTACTCAAATGTGTTCGAACAGTGCCTGTGGGCGGGCAATGCAGTTCTCTTCGAATAATGCCTGCCCGCAACGCATTGTAGTTGTAGTCAAACGGTGGAGGACCTGCCGGCCACTTTTTCTTCATCCCCCTTCTCTGTCTCGGCCAGTTGTGGGCCTGTAACGGGGTGTGCCTCTTACTACGAATTTCGTGTAGATGTGTGTAGCTGTGTAGTTTAAGCCTGTTCCCTTGGCTGTTGTTTCGCATGATGGTAGATAGGTACTGGGCTGTATGTTTCAAGGTCTACATCGGGAGACTCTTCGTCTGAGAGGGCTTTTCCGGCCAACCCCTCACTGACAGCAGCCATGTCTGTCCAACCTGTCCTGACGAATCACCCACAGCACAGTAATTTTCATGTCATCCTTTTTTTGTCTACCCGAATGGATATGATATGAAACTGTTTGCACAGACAAGTTCGTTTCCTGCATGTCAGCTCACCTCAATAGGTGGGGGTTCTTTCTTCTTCTTCTGCTTTAAATTTTCTTCTTCTTCTTCTTGTTTCCTCTTTTTCACTGTCCTTTTTGAACTTACAGACAGTTTGTTCCTTTGCTTATGGAGTGTCTGTGGGGAACCTGCTTGTCGATTTGCTCAATTGCTGAGCTTCTCACAAAAAGGAAATAGAAGAATCTGGGGTGGGCTATAGCACTTATAGCACTTACCCAGTTTCCCGTTATTGATCTTTTGTAATCTATGGGCCTCACTCAACTACTCTCGACATGCGCGAAAGACAAAAAATGTGACGGTGAATCTTTCCATGTTCTAGCAGAAGATTCATTGCACATTCGGAGAGTAGTGGAGAATGTGATGGTGAATGTTTCCATGTTCTAGCGGAAGATTCATTGCATATTTGGAGAGTAGTGGAGCGGGACCCTATGGAAGAATACTACTAAGTGGGGCCTCTTCCCAGCTCTTGCCTTTACAGGTTGTGCGTCTAAGTGGGACCTCTTCCCAGCTGTTGCCTTTATTGGTTGTGCGCGACTGAATAACTATAAAAAGATAGCATAAACTGTTACCGTCAGTGTCATCTTTCTATCAGAAAGCTGGGTACTACCTGCATGGAGATATGTGAAACGGTTTTCACCTCTTTGCAGTCACAGATGCGGGCCCTAGAGTTCGATCCCCAGACCTCACCTTACCCATGTACAGTATCGAGTTGACCCCCGAGTGTTTGAGCCCGTGACCTGTGTTTCGGTAATTGGTTGTTGTCTGTCGTAGGTCTGTGTAGATGTAGGGGTTCGATCTGTAGGTTTGTGGAGCAGGGGTCACAACTCTGTAAAGGTCGTAGCTGTAGGTGTTCTGAGAGGTCAAGGTTGTAGCTGCTACAGTCCTGAAAGGTCAAGGTCGTAGCTGCTACAGTACTCGAAAGGCCAAGTCCACAGACTTCCGGAAGGTCCGGAAGTGGCCTTTCGAAAGTGTCTCACGTTTAGACAACTTCGATGAGTCAGCGGTACCCAGTCCCAGTCTCACTTTGTACAGTCAGCAAGTACTATAAGGGACTGTGTGCACCATGGGCCCGGTGGAAAAGGGGGCAGACCAACGAGTTACAAAAGTATAAATCAAGAGGCAGCGTCCAACACTCGGGCATTCGCTGCGTAACCCATGCGGAAGCGCTGCTACAGCGTCTTGTGCGAGGTGGTCTGCACGTCGCCCGAAGTCGAAGTGGGGTGAAGGAAGACAACGTAGCCATAGTCAGTAGTAGTAGAGCGGCCATAGCTGCTGTAGGAGGAAGATAGGCTTTGGTGTGTGTAAGAGAGGGAAGCGTGTGGAGTATTCAGGGTGATCGAGAGTTGATTATGTGCAAATGGTGGTGTTGGACACAGTGACGAGAGTGGTGTGTGCAAGCGCTGAAGCGCCATAGCTTGTTGGAGTGATTTCGGATCTGAACTGTGTTCTCATTCTCCATATCTCTTAGCTTCGAGTGGGCGTGCTGCGCTAGTGTGAATCACCATCTGTTTGTATGTATGCGAAGTGGACAAGAAAGCGAGTCTGATTGCATTGGTATCAGAGCTGGTTCCCGTTACCCCACGCGTCATCGTCGTTGCCAGCGGGAAGGAGATGCGTGCGCCAGTTAGGCGCCATAGCCAAGTTTGCACCATCGGAGAAGATCCGCCATAGTTGCGCTGTGGAGTGAGGTGCTGCGTACCTGCACAAAAGACAAAGACGAAGAAGAGAGAGAGAGAGAGAGAGAGAGAGAGAGAGAGAGAGAGAGAGAGAGAGAGAGAGAGAGAGAGAGAGAGAGAGAGAGAGANGAGAGAGAGAGAGAGAGAGAGAGAGAGAGAGAGAGAGAGAGAGAGAGAGAGAGAGAGAGAGAGAGACAAGATTGTTGTGCGGACCAGGAGAGAAAGCGGCCATAGCCGCGGAGCTTGGACACAGGGTTATCAAGAAATAGGAAGGTGAAGCGAAGGAGAAGGGAGGAGAGACGAAGGAGAGAGAAACCATAGTCGAGGAAGAAGAAAGGAGGGACGAAGAAGAAGGAAGACATAGCCGGGGTGAAGAAAGAAAGAAGTGAGGAAGATGAAAGGAGGGAGAAAGAGAAGCGAGGGTGCGAGAAAGAGAAAGTGTCGGCAGCCATAGCTAATTTGAGGGCTGCCCAACGTGTTGACCAGGGGGTTGACCGAAGTTGACTTGGGTGTTGACTTAGGCGTTGACCAAAGTGTTGACCAAAGTTGACCAGAGTGTTGACCGGGGGTTTGACCGACATTGACCAAGCGTTGACCGAGGCGTTGACCAAAGCTGTTGACCAAGAATTTGACCAAGTTGGAGTTGGTATATTCTCGCCAAGCCTACAACCTATCCCGTCGCCCTATGGATGTGCACTCACCCCATGGTACTTGCTGAGTCTGTCTGTCTCTTCTTTTTGCATTGAGTCTCTTCTGTCCAGGTGATAGGAACTTTGTGAATGAGGTCATAGAGCCTTGTTGACCAAACTCACACGGGCTGAGTAGGGCTAAAGGCTATGTCTGACGACTTGACTGACCCGGAGGACACGAACCCTCCCAAGGACCGGTACAGACCAACAGGCTGTGGCACGGTAGGCCAAAAATCCGAGTTGTGGGCTGCACAACAAGCTGTCTAAGTCTTGAGAGGACTTGCTGATCGCGTCGTCCTGTTTGCGACGTTACATAATTCCTCAGGAGTTATGGGGGATCTCCTTAAATGCCCCCTGATCAGCAATAAGTCCTGTAGTGGAAGCCTTAGTTTAGGTCTAGGCTAGAGACCATAGTTGACATGATCTTACCAAGATTCTGTGGTCCTTAGTTGAGTCGGTCCTAGCTAAGTGGCGAGGAGTGGAACTGATCCTTCATCGTGCACCTTTTACGATGGTTGACCTACATAGTGGAAAGAGCACCACCCCTTACACGAAAGCTCAGGAAGAGCAAGCCGCCACCGTACTTCAAGAGAGAAAAGAGAAGGAGGCCAAGAAGGAGTTGATTAAACAGGCCAAAAAGTTGGCCCTACAGGTGGAGCAGGCGGCGAAGAGGAAAAAATTGGGGGAAGAGATGGAGAGATTGAAAAAGGAGGAGGAAGAAAAGATGAAAGCAGTAGAAGAAGAAGAGATAGAAGAGGAAAAGGAGGAGGAACCCCTGATCAGAAGAAGCGCAGGGCAGAGAGGGGAATCCAAGAAGGTTTTCGAGTGGGTGGCGAACTTATCCTTGGGGGAAGAAGAAGAAGCCATGTTGTATGTTCCCAGGGAGGAGAAGGAAGCAGTTATCAGGGAGTTGGAGGAAGAAGAAGACCCCTTGATGCGTCAGACGATAGAGGATGAGAAAAAGTTACAGCGGAAGTTGCGTCTTACGACGGAGAAGAAGAGAAGGATGGATGAGGTGAGTAGGATGGCGAAGGAGTTAGAAGCGATAAAGAAGCAAAGAGAGCAAATGCAGGCTCGAGTAGATATACAGGGAAAATTAGATATTATTACGAGAAACATAAAACTCCTAGCTAGAACCTGGGACGAGCAACATTAGTTGGCTAGATCCCAGGAAATCGCCTTACGCTCCACCCGCTTGGGTTTTAGAGATTTTGCACGTGAGATGATGTTGCACGTGGGTGCAGAGATGCAGGCGAGGATAGAGGGCACAAAGAAATTCTGCACAGGTGCCATTGAGGGCGCAAAGCTGGCCACTCCAAAGGAGGAGGTACGCCCCCGTAGAGAGCCCGTGAAGATTAAATTTCATGAATCCTATAGTGGGAAAAAGGAAGAAAATTTTGATAACCAGGAGGCGAATGTGAATACATACGTGTATTTACAAAAAATCGTTGCTAAGGAACAAGTCCTCGTTGCATTTCAGGCCCTCAAAGACGAAGCAGCCAGCTTCGCCAGATCACTCGCTCGTGCCGCACATTGCGAGAATAATATGGTAGCCTATTCCAAGATTACCCCTCTCCTTGAATTCTTTCGACTCCTTAGAGAACGATTTGCAGATGTCACGCGAGGCGTAAGGGCCTCTGACAAAATGCAAACTATCCACTCACACCAATGGAGGAGTGCAAGGGCACTTAAAGGCGTTATGGACGAGCTGGTGGCTGTCCCAGACCACGGGGTCACTCAGGCCCAGTTGGTCAACTTATTTTATTGTGCCATGCCAGAGCCCCTGCGTGGGCACTTCTTCGAAAAGAGTAGACAACCCACCATAACGTATGATACATGGAGTAGGGAGGTGGTGTTGTTTGAGGCACAGTCTATGCCAGTTTCCACTTTCTGGCATAAGGACTTGGACAAGGGGAAAAAGTGGAAGGGCCGTACCATCTCTGATCAGGTTAGGGCCAAGGATCATTTGATCCTTACCTTGGATGAAGGTGGTATGGATGAGGTCCCATATAGTCAGATCAAGTGGGGACTAGAGGAAGAGGACAATAATTGCAATCAGGGGAGGACCTACGCCGCGGTCGCGGCTGGAGGGAGGCCACAAGGAAGGGGAGGCCAGGGCCAAGGGTGCCTGGCCTCAGGTGGCCGAGAACAGGGTGCTCAGATGGCACCCTGGCTTGTCGCAAGGCAGGCCGTGGGAAGATTTGGGCTTGCACCAGTCAGTGTGGCAGCGTCGTGTGGACCAGGATCGGTGCATTTATTGCGGTGAACCTAGCCACATAATTAAATATTGTCCAAAGTATAAAGAAGCCCGTTATGCTGCACAAGTGGCAAAAGGCAACCGCCGGTAGGGGTTGCAACTGCCCTTACCCCTAGGCCATGTGGAGAAGAGTGCGTGCACCACAGAGGAACTCCCAAACCCCATGAGCCTACGACAAAGGTTGCTGGCCAGTACCTAGATGGCTGTCCAGAGAATGCTTGTGTTAGAGTCTCTCTAGGTACTTCCCTCACAGACGTGGCTGAAAGAGTTGAAGGAGAGGATGCCTGTCTGGGCCAAAATGAAGAAAGATGCGAAAGGACAATTGGTGTTAGTAGATGTAGAGATTTTTAGAGGTAGAGTAGGGGCCCTTATAGTCAGTGGGGCCACCCACAACTATATCAGTAGAAAAGCGCTGCAAAAGCTAAAGCTGAATTTGAAGGTCCAAAAGTTAGAAGACCCTATAGTCGGTATCCTCGCAGACAATCCCACTATGCGAGTCGAGGATTACGTCGAGGGAGTCTAGGCATACTTTTGCCTAGAGAAAGATGGGAAGGTGGAGAAAGTTCTCCATTCCCTGACTCTCCTCGCAGAGGACAACCTTCCTTTCGATATAGTCTTAGGAATGGACTGGGGAGAGGCAGCTGGGGCCACACTGCATTTGAGAGAGCACGAGTGTAGGCTCACTAGCTCTACGGGTGAAGTTAAGACTGCTCGCCTGTTCCATGCGTCAGGAGTAGATAACACTCTGGCACATTGCTGTTTGAGAGAGCACGAGTGTAGGCTCACTAGCTCCACGGGTGAAGTTAAGACTTCTCGCCTGTTCCATGCGTCAGGAGTAGATAACACTCTGGCACATTGCTGTCTCAGTGCTCCCGCGTTCGCACGTTTAGTGAAGGAGCAATTGGACGAGCAGGTTTTTTGTAGCCTATGTTAGGCCGGTTACTGAGCGTAGGAAGAGAGACCCATAGACCTTGCTATTGCCGAGCTGCTGGAGTTTACAGACTTAGCCAAGCTGCCGACAGGAGCAGTGCCGCGACCGATCCAACATCGTATAGAGATAAAGCTTGGCAGTAAGACTCCTAAGGGTGCTGTATATAGGATGTCCCCGAGGGAGTTAGAGAAGTTGCGCAAACAGTTGGATGAGCTCCTTGAGAAGGGTTGGATTAGACCCAGGTCATCTCCATTTGGAGCACCTGTTCTTTTTGTCCCCAAGGAGGGAAAACTTAGGATGTGCATAGACTATAGAGGTTTCAACGCTGTCACAGTAAAGAATGTAGGACCATTGCCCCGCATAGATGATTTGTTAGATCGGGTGCAGGGCTGCAAGTATTTTTCGAAGAAAGATTCAAAGTCTGGCTATCATCAGATAGAGGTTCACCTTGATGACCAGTATAAGACGGTGTTCCAAACGCGATATGGGCACTACGAGTTTATAGTTATGCCCTTTGGACTAACCAATGCGCCATCAACATTCCAGCGCTGCATGAATGATTTTTTCAGGTCGTGGTTAAACAAATTTGTGGTAACACACTTAGATGACATTCTAGCTTTTAGTAAGACCCTCCGAGAGCATGAGGGCCATTTGAGGCAGGTCTTGGAGAAGCTTAGAGAAGCTAACTTCAAGATCAACGCAAAGAAGTGCGAATGGGCGAAGACCCAAGTTTTGTACTTAGGCCACGTCCTAGACGGAGACGACATAAAACCTAAAGACAGAAAGATTGCAGTGATTAGAGATTGGCCAACGCCTCGCACGCTGACAGAGTTGCGGTCGTTCTTAGGCCTAGCTAACTACTATAGGAAGTTGGCAAACTTCTCCACCATCGCTGCACCCCTTCGCAGGTTGCTAAAGAAAGAAGCAATCTGGAAGTGGGACAAGGACTGTACATCAGCCCTGAAGAAGCTAAAGCGGGCGTTGATAGAGTATCCAGTCCTTAAGGTAGCCGATCCGTCCCTGCCTTTTGTTGTTACCACTGACGCGAGTCAGTATGGCATAGGTGCTGTTTTACATCAAGACGATGGCAATGGATATAGGTCCGTAGAGTTCATGCCTGCCAGGATGCCTTCAAAGAAGGTAGCGACATCCACCTATGAGAGGGAACTCTACGCTCTCAGGCAAGCATTACAGCACTGGAAGCATTACTTGCTTGGGAGGCACTTCAAAGTCTATTCAGACCACGAGACATTAAGGTGGTTGAAGACACAGGCCAAGATGACATCTAAGCTTACTAGGTGGGCCGCAACGTTATATCAGTATGACTTTGAACTTAAGCCTGTCAAAGGGAAGTACAATGTAGTTGCGGACGCTCTAAGAAGGAGAGCTGATTACTTTGGGGCAATAGTTCACTATCTAGATATAGGGAGAGACCTGCAGCAGAAAGTAAGAGAAGCATATACACAGGACCCTATCTATAGTGACCTCCTTAAGAGAGTTAGGGAGGCCCCAGGGTCCGGACCAGATTACCGCACTACTGATGGGCTACTATTCGAGATGACTAATGTAGTTGACCGTCCGTGCGTTCCCAACAGTGAGGAGATCCGTTGTTTGATCTTAGGGGAATGCCACGACACAGAGGGACATTTCGGTTGGCAAAAGACACTAGCCAACCTCGTGCACACGTATATCTGGCCCGGAATGAAGGCTGACTGCATAGAGTATGTACGCAATTGTAAAGTCTGTCAGAAAAACAAGATTACTACGCGAGCCCCTCTTGGTCTTCTCAGACCCTTGCCAATCCCTGACAGACCCGAAGATTTTGTGTCCATTGACTTTATGGATGCTGGGGTCAAGAGTAGACTTAATGGTTATAGTAGATAGATTTAGCAAGTATGCAGTTTTCATCCCCTTGCCTGTAGAGGCACAAACAGATTTAGTAGTTCAAAAGTTCTTTGACCATTGGGTCAGTGAGCATGGTATACCGCTGTCGGTAGTTAGTGACAGAGATACCAGGTTCACCAGTCAGAAATGGCAGGAACTAATGAAGGTCTATGGTTCCAAGTTGTTGATGTCATCTGGCCGTCATCCTGAGACTAACGGTCAGATTGAACAGATGAACAAGCTCCTGCAGCAAGTTCTTAGAATGTACATCAGGTTCTACCAGATCAACTGGGATCAGATGCTTCCAAAGGTAGCCAGTGCATACAATAACAGCGCGCACTTAGCCACATGTCGCACTCCCAACAAAATGCATAAGTCCTCTAGACTGTGCAGACCATTTTAACTGGGATCAGATTCAGAGGTTACCGCCTGGTACACGAGAGTTTTCGATACAGCACGAGAAAGAGATAGGTACTGCTGTTGATAACCTCAGGAAAGCCCAGCACAGGATGATAGAGCAAGCTAATAAGCACCGTCGCCCCTCGCAGTTTCAAGTAGGCGACTTAGTCTGGGTCAAGTCAAAAGAGTTTGCTCCTGAGGAGAACATCTCACAGAAGTTGTTGCCTGCGTATAGAGGACCGTGGCCAGTCTTAGAAGTCAAGGGTGGAGAGGATGGGCCGTCCTATACTATTGAGATTCCAGCACACCTCCACATGTACCCAATGTACCATGCGTCAAAGCTGTTGCCTTGCAGCACAAGTCCACAGATTCCATCACGGCGATCCATGATCCCTCCGGATATGGATGGAAGATACGACATTGATGGTACAGTAGGTGAGGACGTCTTCAGGACAGGAGGTAGAGGTCGTCCACAGAAACAGTACAAAGTCAGATTTTCCTTTCAAGAACCAGAAGACGATCGCTGGTTCACGCGAACAGAACTTCTAGAGACAGTTCCCGACATAGTCAGAGCTTACGGAAGAGACAAGAAAGGTAAAGGTCGTGCCTTAGACTGAAGTATTCTTGGAGGACCTCGAATTTAGGCCGGAGGGAGTGAAACGGTTTTCACCTCTTTGCAGTCACAGATGCGGGCCCTAGAGTTCGATCGGCAGACCTCACCTTACCCATGTACAGTATCGAGTTGAGCCCCGAGTGTTTGAGCCCGTGACCTGTGTTTCGGTAATTGGTTGTTGTCTGTCGTAGGTCTGTGTAGATGTAGGGGTTCGATCTGTAGGTCTGTCGAGCAGGGGTCACAACTCTGTGGAGGTCTTAGCTGTAGGTGTTCTGAGAGGTCAGGGTCGTACCTGCTACAGTCCTGAAAGGTCAAGGTCGTAGCTGCTACAGTACTCGAAAGGCCAAGTCCACAGACTTCCGGAAGGTGGCCTTTCGAAAGTGTCTCACGTTTAGGCAAAGGCAAGTGGGCAAGTGGTGGAGTCCAACTTCGATGAGTCAGCGGTACCCAGTCCCAGTCTCACTTTGTACAGTCAGCAAGTACCATAAGAGACTGTGTGCGCCATGGGCCCGGTGGAAAAAGGGGCAGACCAACGAGTTACAGAAGTATAAATCAAGAGGTAGCGTCCAGCATTTGGGCATTCGCTGCGTAAGCCGTGCGGAAGCGCTGCTACAGCGTCTTGTGCGAGGTGGTCTGCATGTCGCCCGAAGTCGAAGTGGGCTGAAAGAAGACAACGTAGCCATAGTCAGTAGTAGTAGAGCGGCCATAGCTGCTGTAGGAGGAAGATAGGCTTTAGTGTGTGTAAGAGAGGGAAGCGTGTGGTGTTGGACACAGTGACGAGAGTGGTGTGTGCAGGCACTGAAGCGCCATAGCTTGTTGGAGTGATTTCGCATCTGAACTGTGTTCTGGTTCTCCATATCTCTGAGCTTTGATTGGGCACGCTGCGCCAGTGTGAATCACCATCTGTTTGTATGTATGCGAAGTGGACAAGAAAGCGAGTCTGATTGCATATGTATTGATGCATGAGATCGGCTAAGGACCTCGTCTCACGAAAGAAAAAAAATGTGTCTTCCCACAGAAGGTGGCCAAATACATCAGATTCTGTTACTGTTTATAGTAAGTAACACATGTACTTTGCCGGCTTCTGTGGAAAGATGCACTGACTTTTTTTTCATTTTGTGAGTTTTCTGTGGTGAGGCCCTATAAAACTAGAATGTTGATGGAAAGTGTTCCACCAATTTACAGAGCATTTCATTATTGGTGTATTTATGAGAGCTATACACAAAAAAAGAAGTTACCCCCCCCCCCCCCCCGAAAAAAAAGAGAAGCTGCATCTGCAGAAAAGAATAGATATCGTAGTTCACACCTTAAGTTTTTCTCTCACTAGCTGAAGAGGGAGAAAAAACCCTTGTTGGGGGGAGGTTCCAGATACCCAGGTTCTTCCCCTCTTACGTGAGGCTGAGGACAGCATCCCCTCCTATGTGAGGCTGAGGACGTATTGACTCTAAATATTTCCAACGTCAACCAGAATAGTTGTACTGTGAGCTCTTTTCTTCCCTACCCACCCTCCTCTCTTTTATTTCAATCTCGACCTTATGACAGCGTCTCCTTCCATTCTGCGGCACCCATCTATGCTGGGGGGAGGTTCCAGATACCCAGGTTCTTCCCCTCTGGTCGTGCATCCTTGTGATCGATGACCTGTCAGGTATGGAGAGCTTGTGTGTAGTGGACCTTGTCCCTAGGGTGCAGCTTTCAGGGTCCTCTTCCACCGGTACAACACTCCTCCGCACACCTCTCCCGCTATGGGCGGCCGAGAGATCTTTACCCATTACAGCTATCTTCTGAGACCAAGGGTTACGCCCGTCTGGTTCTATGTTTCCCCTGCGCTAGTTTGAACCTGGCCCGGCTTATGGGCAGGTTCATGTTTTCCGAGCAATGCCATAGACATAGCTCCAGGGGAAGAGGCTCATGCTTCCTAAGCACAAACATAGCACAATGCAGTAGCTTTAGCTTCCCTTAGGGTCAGGCTGCATTGAGCTATTATGTAGTCTAGGTTCTGAATTCTCAATGCATGTTATGAGAAGTTGAATTTCACCTCCTGGGTGTCGGATTTCCTTACAGGACCTGGATGTAGTTGGATGGGGACTGCCACTTACTGTCAGATGCTGTGGGCCTTATCGTCGTCCGATGATTGGGCGACTGGCAAAAACACAGAATCAAAAGTCCCACGGGCGGGGACGGCCGCCTAGTGGCAGTTCCTGTGGTGCCTTATCGTGCTCAATATGGGACGATAAGTGGCAGAAAAAACATAAAGACGCAAAAGTCCAACGGGTTGGGAATTCCACTTACTGTCAGATGCTGTGGGCCTTATTGTTGTCATTGGGCGACTGGAAAAAAGACATAAAGAATCAAAAGCCCCATGGGTAGGGAACTCCCTTACTGGCAGTGACACACTCAAAAAAGTCCAACGCGTAGGGAATTCTACTTTACTGTCAGACGCTGTGGTCCCTTATTGTGCACATCAATGGGGTGACTGACAAAAACACACTGACTCGGAAGTCCTGCTGCACTTGGAAATGGGCCCATTGGCAAGTGCAGCAGTGTCGATATGCATCTCTGGATCTGCATGGATCTGCGTAACAGTTTGGACCTGGTAGCAGAAAGTAGTGATAGTATCTTCTGGTACTATGTGGTATGCTAGAAGCTACTATCAGCAGCAGCTACTCGCGTCAGGACAGACCAGGTTACAGAATTTCTGGTGTCCCTCCCTCATAGCCAAAACTTCGGCTTCTCAGGACTCCTTAGAATAGGAGATTAGAGAGAGAGTTGTGGAGGCTTTGTCCCACTGGCAGTTGGGGGACCACAAAACCCCAGCCAGAGATCTCCTGCCAAAGGAGCTCTGAGTGACTTTTTTGGGACATATTCAAGGATCGACACCCTTGTGGATCTGCTCTACAATGCTGTAATGTGGGGATGAAGGAATTGTGCGGCTGGATTCTGAAGGTATCTTAAGATTCTTAACCCTTCAACATAAAAAGGTAAAGGAGAGTGATACTAGGAATTATAGATCAATCATCTTCAAGTTGCTGACTGTGGTCTATAAGATCCTGGCAAAGGTACTAGTTAATAAATTTCAGAGTGTCCTGCAGTTGGTTTATCCGTACAAATGAGACTGCTAGACGGTTTTATGAGTGGAGAGAATCATCCTCGGTGGCATCCGACTGGTACAAAATGGCATGTGATCAGACAAGGCGGATCGTGTCAATTGTCTTAAATTATTGCTTTTATAAGAAGGTCTGCTACTCCCCACATGCATTGCTATTTCACGGAAAGATGCATGGGAAAATACAAGAGGAAAAGTTTTAAAGGATTGGGGTCTGCTGCTATGAGGGTTCAGACAGGTGGCCACTTTGCGCAGGCCTTGAACTGCGACGACGTGCAAGTGGATCCTGTAGCCAGTACCTCTTTCATCACAGTGATTGAGGCACTGGCTGTGACTGTCAAGGAGGACCAACACCGCAACACCTAATCACATCGAGGTGGTTGGTAGCCCACCACAATTCATGCCAATCCATTCTCTGTTTGGCAATTTGGATATGGGGGTCAGTCGGGTTTCAAAATCCAAGGGTTGTGGATACAAAGCCACTTCAGACTGTTAGGCCCCCGGAGCAGCCCAGATAAGATAGGAGGAGTTACGTGCTCTTATCGTGATCATTGGACTGATTCTCACTGCAAATGGGAAAAACCTGGTACCTGGGGATTGGCCCTCTTCAATCCGATCGTTGTCATGCCAGGCCTCTAGAAGGAAAAACAGACCTCCCTGAAGAAATAATCCAAGATACTGCAGTGTATAGGGCATCGTTACGCCCACTTCAGAAGAAGTCTCAGGCTGGCCTGGAGAAATACCTGACATCTTATCTATGGTGGAACAATCCTGAGACGATAGTAAAGCCATCTGCTGGGTGGCCATGGACTCCACCCAAGGAAACAGTGCAGTGGGCTTGGCGTATTGAGAGACGGTTAGCGTAGGCCTCAATTTTCAGACCACTTGTAAGGCCATTTATAGCAAAACCCAAGGATCATTTTAACCAAACTTGCCACCAATTCATGGAGTGGAGATCATACTAACTACATACAAAAAAAAAATTGAAAAAAAAACTTAAAAAACTTATAAAACAGCAAGGCGAAAGTGTGTTTTCATGCAAAATTCACTCATTTCAGTTTTCAGGATTTTCAGGAATTTTCAGGGCTAGCCAAAACAGTCAACTGCAAGACCGAGTTTTCAGGATTTTCAGGATTTTTCAGGGCTAGCCAAAACAGTCAACTCCAAGAACCCAACAAACACCAAACTTGGCACACACAGACCTTGACCAAAAATAAAACAGGTCGAAAGAAAAAAAAACAGAAAAAAACTAAAAAAAATGATCTCCAATGCACTTTTCAGGGTTGAAGGAGTTAACCAGGGCTGAAAAGTGGAAGTCCCTGTTGACCGGTTATGGGCGTATTTGATCCTAGGGTACCACGTTCAAGGCAATCCATATCAAGTGTATTACAGACTATACTGTTTGAAGGCGCAACAGATTGGAAAACCATCTCAGGGCAGTCACGCCGCAGTCTTCAGGAGACCCATTAGAATGGCGGGGGGCAGACAGCTCAAATTTACATTAAACCACCACTCCACCGTACATCGGCCGCGGGCGTCAGGCTGACACCGGTACCACTTTGTAGGCTGCCGTGCCGATTTTTTTGTTATCTACAGCGCCCCGCCACGCCTGGCCCCGAAATCTGAAGTTGGTGGTGACAAAATGTTTCTGCGAGCCTGGCGCCGTGTACTCGTGGTTTGAAGTCCCTCCTTTCTGAAGCTGGTGGTGACAAAATGTTTCTGCGAGTCTGGCGCCGTGAGCTCGTGGTTTGAAGTCCCTCCTTTCATGGGAGAAGATATAACGCACGGCGCGGGTGCGCTTACGAGGGCTCTGGCAAATGACCCTGTCTGGGAGGAGTTGGTCAAGGGGTTAGGGAACTCCCTGGTAGTGATTAGATTGGGGAGGTGAGAGGACATGATTGCACAGCCTCCTTGGGAACTCCAGGATAACTGAGCCGTAAGGAGTGGTGTTGCAGTCCCTCCAATTGGCATCTGGGTCGAGAAAGGTGCACCCAAGAGTACTGATACACGCATGGCAGATTTCTAGATCAACTAAAACACCTCCTTTCACAGGAGAATGTATAATGCGTGGGGCAGGTGCGCCTAAACCGCCAGTACAAGTCCCCAGCCTTGCAGGAAAAGAACAACTCGTCGCCATGACACTGTTAGCAATGGCTTGGCCCACTGGACCACGATGACTGGCGGCGCCAGCCAAGAAAAACAAAAAAGTGCACCGTTGGCGGCTTGGAAAAGCTTGGCGCGCAGTAAGGCGCCTTCAGGCCCCGGTGTACTGGTGGTTTGAATCACCACTTTGGGTGGCCTAGCCTTTGAAAAACCACCTGCTGATTGACACAGGGCCGAGGGAAGCCTCAGAGTACCTGTCGCGAAAGGGCTGCTGGCACCAAGCAAATTGTGCACTGGGGGAAGAAATGACTAAATGTATATATAGCTTTATCTCGTGCTACTAGAGTAATGATCCCCCACTCAACTAGTTGCTCTTATGATGGGAAAGCTGGCGAATGTCTAATGGAAGCTGAACAAGTTTTGAAACTGTGAGATTTTATCAGGCCAACCAGGATGGTGTATATGTTCATGATATGGATGGGGATATAATTATGTCAGCACTAGGGATACTCTCTATTTCAACAAGTGACATTAAAAAAAAAAAAATCTGTCATGTGTGAGGCTCCAGGCCTCGGTGTGACTCAGAAGGCCGCCTGTGAAATTTCCAGGCGTCCTGAAGTGAACATGGGCCTAAGAAAATCTTGCCTGTCCTAAGAAAAGGCCAGCAGGGGAAAAGTCCTGAGGCTGAAAAGAGGTGCCAGCCCTGTAAAAATAGGTAGGCCCAGCCTCCAGTTAGTTACGTTGGCTCGGACACGGACTCAGATCCACTGGGCAGCGGGCACTTCCTATTGGGACCAGACCGTGGTCTCTGTGGTCTCCAGAACAGACAAAGGAGGGAGGCTGCTGGAGACAGGACATTCGTGCATTTGGAAGCTCGTGGCAGAGTTGGAGAGCGCTAGCAGATGGAAGCCCCACCCGAGAGGAAGAAGGCAGCTGTGGTGGCTGCTGGTCTGGCGGAATCCACAGCTGGGTACCGCTAGCAGGGCAGCATGGTGGCGGAGTGTGGAAGTGGTCAGGCCGGGAAGTAAGACGATGGGAAATGGTGGGTCTCGCCTGGTGCTGGCTGAGGAAGCCTGTGTGAAGTAGCAGCACCCGGTGAGTAACGCATGGAGAGAGAGGGAGAGTGGTAGGGCACTAGCTTGTGTACAGATAGTAGGAAGTAAAGTAATGCGGACACACCGGAGTAGGGCTACTACATACTGATTATTGGGGGCGAGAAGTGGGGCTTATTATTGGGGGTGAGAAGTGGGGCTTTGTTTATCAAGAGACTTCAGTGTCCTGTTTGCTCCTAACTGGTGTGCTCGTGGATTTAGCATTCTGCTTTTCAACCTGCTCAATTATGCCTGTTCTTCTATGATCTTTCGGATTTTGGAAAATTGGCGCCTCATTGAATGGTTCCTTGCTATCGAAGTGGGTCGATTGACACGCACCATCCTGGCTGGCGGGTCAGGTCATTTGGTGCAGTGTGGTTGACTTTCGTGATGGCAGGACAACCTCATGTGTTGGGGAGAGATGGTTAATGGAAGACCCAAAAATTCGGGTTTTTTCGTCGCATCAGTACATGCAATGTCGTCAAAATATTGCGAACGAACTTCGCACGCTCAAATATGTTGAAACTGAATACAGATATACCCTAAACCACATACATATCATACAAAAAACAAAAACGAGAAAAAAGCAAAATTCAGGGAAATATGGCAGTTTCGGTGAAAAATTCGTCGAAAATGACACCACCCATTAACCACGAGTGATTGGATGAAGAAGAACTGGTGGATAAAGGTGAAGAAGAAGAGAACGCCCAGATACAACAGGCTGAAATATAATAATTTCTCCTCCTATCAACTGCGACTCTCATCAACTCCCAGACAGCTGAAGTCTGAAAGGGTAGACACCTCTCTGAGATAGTCACCAGGCCTCTCTCTCTCTCTCTCTCTCTCTCTCTCTCTCTCTCTCTCTCTCTCTCTCATTCTCTCTCTCTCTCTCTCTTCTCCCTCTCACTCTTAAGCTGGAGTAGGAAGGAGGTGGACATGAAGATGAGAGGAATACAAAGAAGGAGAGGAAAACAAAGAAGAAGTAGATGAGGAAGAACATGAATGTGTCCCTCTCTCTCTCTCCGTCTCTGAAGTTGGGGCAAGGAGGTGGATATGGAGACAAGGGGAAGCTTGAACAATCGTGATATCACATGTCCTAGCTTTGTGCGTATGCGGCAAATAGGAAGCTTGAACAGTCGTGATATCACATGTGCCAGCTTTGTGCGTATGCGGCAAATAGGAGCACAGATTAACACAATGGTATGACAGAGACAGCACCTTTTATGAACATCCACTCCAACATGTGACATTGTATCCACAAACTTTGTAGTTAGTCATCATTCATGCAGAGACTCGTGAGTATGACAAGGGGATGAACACCAAGAACTAGTGGAGGACGAACAGAACTCTCTCTCTCTCTCTCTCTCTCTCTCTCTCTCTCTCTCTCTCTCTCTCTCTCTCTCTCTCTCTCNCTCCCGTCGCCAGTCCCCTCTCTCTCTCTCTCTCTCTCTCTCTCTCTCTCTCTCTCTCTCTCTCTCTCTCTCTCTCTCTCTCTCTCTCTCTCTCTGTGTGTGTGAAGTTCAAGTAGGAAGGAGGTGGACATGGTGATGAGCGAAACAAAGAAACAGAGGAGGAAGAACAGAAGTCTCTCTCTCTCCCTCTCTCCCTCTCTCCCTCTCTCCCTCTCTCCCTCTCTCCCTCCTCTCTCCCTCTCCCTCCCTCCCCCTCTCTCTCTCTCTTGAAGTCCGAATAGGGAGGAGGTGGACATACAGATGAGCGGAAGACGAAGCAGAGGAAGAACGTCTCTCTCTCTCTCTCTCTCTCTCTCTCTCTCTCTCTCTCTCTCTCTCTCTCTCTCCCTGCCTCTCTCTCTCTCTCTCCCTCTCCTTCTCTCTCTCCCTGCCTCCCTCTCTCTCTCCCTCTATCCACCTCTCTCTGTGGCATCAGGTACCGACCGGTGAAACATGTTTCCTTGAGCCGCTGCAAGTTGCAGAGTGGAAGCCCGGCAATGCGCGGCTGACGTCCCCATGCTATGGCTCCAAGGTGAGTCCCCCTCTGCCCTACACTCCACTGCTCCAGACCTCCAGTCTCACTATTCCTATCCTTACCAATGCTACTGGAAGTAACAAGAACAGACTAGCTCCCAACAGTATTGTTCAGCAGCCTGTTGACAAATAGAGCAAACCAACTCTGTCCACTAACGCATGAGGTCCAGCGATATATTGCGGGGCCAGTCTCTCCTTCATCGATAGGTCTCCTGGGTTGTCGGCTCTAATTCGTACCAATGGTTTAGAATAGTTGCCGCAGTCCTGGTACCAATGACCTAGGCCAAAAAAAGTCGAGGCCTGTGTCCCTACCGGATGTCCACGCCCGCCTGCTATCTCAGAACGTACTCCTGGGCCTGCCTAGAATGCGCAGGGACTGGTCCAGGCTCTACCGGACAGAAACCTCTAGCCCTGATACAGACAAAATCTCCAATGGTCAAAATGTTTGAACCAGGCCTACCACTTGTTGTAAGAGGCACCTGTGCCTGTTTGTGCATCAGAAATCCGAAGCGACACTATCCCAGAACAGACGAAGCTGGAGCAGACATCAGAAGAAGTCTGAAAATCTAGAACCTGAGTCACTCAAATGAACCAAGGGCCATAAAATTACTGTGACCCTGTGGCCGCCCACAAAGTGGTGCGCAGTCGTAGGGTTGCCCAGAACAAGGTCTGGGTGTCCCAGGGCCCGTGTGGGAGGCCAATGGATGACACAGTGAGTGCTGGGAGTATGTCTCCCCTTGGAGTTACCACGGAACAATAAATCCTCTTTGCCTCCCTCAGGTGCCTCTTGGACCCTTCTGGCGACCATCTGACCTATGATCTCCTACATCATGGCGCTGATCATTGTCATTCTCATCAACCAATCGCCAGTGCTCTGTGAACGCCAGACCAGTATCAGCCTAGATTTGGTCCGCTACCATCATGTCACCTATCTGCTAGCTACCGGGTTCGAGGCCTACGCGAGTTGTGGGAAAACCTTACCGGGTCCCTATCTAACCTAGATCTTTTTCTTTTTTTTTAATTTGGACCATTTCTCGATTTATGTGTGTCATCCTTGCGCAGGGGCCATGCTAATCTTCTCTGTATCGTTCCAATTTTAACGGATGTCCCGAAGGACGTATCTAACCTAGATCTATCCTTGGGCATACTGCAATTTCTTGTAAGCCCTTCAGTAACCAAATTTCGTATCTCTGCAACTACTCCTATTTACTGTCTATCAACCCCGGATGACACAGCATGAGAACAGAGCACATGGAGATGGACCTGAACTCCGCATTCCACGTTCAGGCATATAGCAAAACGCTCACGCTTAGAAATCTCAGCAAAGAGAGCAAACCAAATCAAAGGACAGCAGCTTTTTCATAAACAAGTGGACCTGCCGCAGCCACGCTGCGGCGAAGGATGATGCCAAAAACATTTTGCGAAACACCCCGGACATTGGTTGGACCCCATCTTTGCGATGTACCCCTATCGGACACCGTCCAACTTTGCAAAATGCCCCGGTAGTTACCAACTTTTCATAGGTCCAATTGCAAAAGGCCAAGGCCCAAACGGGGAGGCTGACATTGTGAATTTGCACACGCGGCTGACAAGGGCATAACACAAAGATGTCAGCCCAAAAGGCCATTCCACTACTGAGATCTTTCAGGGACATTTTGAAATATATCTCAACTTATGGGGGTATTTGGCAAATTACCACCCCCCCCAAAAAGGCCGATGGCATCTTTTCAACATTTGGAGGAAGATATGCCAGTCTTCTCTCTCTCTCTCTCTCTCTCTCTCTCTCTCTCTCTCTCTCTCTCTCT